ATCCGTGGGATTCCGGGCAGGTCAGCAGCGCCCGGAGAGGCTTCCTGCCTCGGGCATGACTCAGAGGGGGGATTAGCGGGATTTACCCGAGCGGGAACACAGCGGCCTCCGCCGCCGGGGCTGGCCCGGAGCCCTCGCGCAGGAGACCCCTGCCAGGACGGGGGAGCCGGTGTCCGAAAGGCGTCGGGGCGACGCTCCATCCCCCCGGCTCTCCCAGCGGATTCCTGCAGCCGGACGGGGCGGGGTGGGTTTGGGGGCCTGGGGGGGGGGGGGGCACGGGCGGGTGTTAGGGGCTGGGAGCCTCCCGGAGCCATGGACTCAGGACACTGGAGACCTGGGATGCTGGAGACCCAGGATATTGCACATGCGGGATGGTAAGAACTGGAATATCGGAGACCAAAGACCTTGGATGATGGCACCAGGGATGTTGAGCTTTGCAATGAGGGGGAACTGGGATGTTGGGGATCCGGGATATTGGAGACCAGGGATACTGGAAATCCAGGGCATTTGGAGCTGTGGGATATTGAGATCTCAGAGGTCAGAGACATGAAACATTGGAGACCTGGGAGGTTGAGGCCAGAGATATTGGAGAACTGGGATATTGGAGACCCAGGATATCGGAGGATGGGGACACGCGAGCGCAGGCAGCACCCAGACGTGCCCCATCACGGCCAGCGCCACCAGCTCAGGCAGCCCCGAAGGACGGGGTGCCCCGCGTGTCCCGACCCGGTGCCACCGACCCCTCTGGCCTCCTGCCCAGGGACGCAGGGCACAGAGCAGGTTTATTTCACTTTGGTTTATTCCAATTCGTTCTACATTTTTCTTCCCATTTATTCAAGACACTCAGTGATGGGGTGAGTACAAAATAAGGAATAAAAACAGGGATCGAAGCGGGGGTGGCGTGAGGAGCTGTTCTGAGCAGGGCAGCAGCGGCGGCGGTTTCTCTCCCTCCTCCTCGGGGCCGGCTACTTCTTGGCGGGCTCCTCCGCCTTCTTGCCTTGGCTCTCGATGGTGACGGGGATGGTGATTTCGGCCGACTGGATGGCGGGCCTGGGCAGGGGGGCCTCCCCGGGGAGCCTGCCGGCCG